GTATTTGAAACATATTCAGAGAGAATATATTTTTGGGAAACATTTTCCTATATTCTGAGAAAGCACACATTCTTGAAACGTTCGAGAAAAAACATTGACTCACAATGTTAGTTCGTTTTAAAGAAACTATTACAACTATTACTTGCCACTCCACTATCCGCCACCCTGTATAAATACAGCGCGTCTCTTATGTGCCCTGACAAATAAATTTACTATCAGCCAACCCCTTTGTATGTCCAAGTAACGAACCACAAAATAGTCCATTTCATTTAATTACAACATTAATGTATTGGTAAGTTTCGACATCATAGGCAGACAAAAGCCGATCGTAGGCAGAGGAGTCCAGGGTGGATTTGAATTGTGTCAAAGATGCACCAGCTGTGCCCCCCTGCGGAGCGGTACAACAACCTGGGGCATCGGCCTATGGTCTATCGGTTCCGACAAAACAAAAAAACAATGTCCCCATAACCGGCTGTGTTCTTTTAATTAAACACAAATTCACGTCTACAATTATTTACAGGATGGCCAACCAGAAGTTCCTCACAGGATCGCACGAGAAAACATTGTACGATACAAACATAACGTTTGTAGTTTTAAACGGATTCAAGTTTTTGATATTCTAATAAATCATATAATCATCATCTAATTTTTAAACATTGAAACTCGAAACACTAACCACTTCGCTCCATTATAATGCAAATATGTATATTCTGAAATGTTCTTCTCACGTTGTGCTTCTCTATGTCCGTAAACTTCTCGTATCTTCTAGAGAAATTAAAAATGACAAAACACAAGCACTACAGGAAAATCCTTAAGGCGCTTTAATAGCGTCGCCTGCAAAAAAGCAGGGATTCACATTGGATTTGAATCGCTTGTTATTGAATCCATTTGGAAAAACGTTCTTAGGAAGTTCACTCCACATAAACGCAGTTCTCCAGATGAAAGAGTTCTTAAACAGTGAAGTTCGAGGTGTAATGAGTTGAACCTCAAACGGATGAGCAGCCACAGTCCGTCGCGTATTTCTGATATATATCGCTCTTGGTGGAATCAAATGTGCCAAGTCACTTTGAATATTTATAGAAGAGCGACAAATCTCCAACTTCCTTCGATGTTCCAGGCTATCAAGGTTGCACGTGATGTTCGCGTCTCCAATCAGGCGGATGGCTCTTTTCTGGATGGAATCTAGCATCTTCAGGATATGCTTGGAGGCAGACTTTCCTACATGGGAACAATACTTCAAAGAAGTGGAAAGTCATCTTGTTGTCTCAGGCTTGGAGTCCAGCTTCCTTACCCTTTCGGCTGATTATTGGTCTCGAGAGGGACCAATGGGTACATGACTGATGGTATGGCGGCATGAAGTCCTCAGATATCAGTACCGTCCTTCACGGGATACCCCTACCTGGCTGGGGTGGGATGGATGAAAAAGCTATTCGTCCGTTAACGGGAGACAGAGTCTCGGGGCCTTCTATATCGGGAGGGGTCGTCTACAGCATAATCTGTGGCTTTCCTAACTAACGGGTTTTCGTGAGTTTCCGTACTTTCAAAAACTCGTTGATTCCTCGACTGAATGGACTGCCGAATGGAAGGCAGCTGCAAATCTCTGCGGATGGCTTCGTTCTGCACGAACCCAGGAGCATTTACAATCATCCTGATTAACTTATTTTGTAGTCTTTCCAAAATGGAAGTGTTGGACGGAGCCGCTTGTCCCCAGACGCCTGAAGCATACATGATGACAGGCTTGAACATCTTGTTGTAGATGGTGATTTTGTTCTTTATGCTCAATTTGGATTTTCTGTTGACCAGAGGGTACAGACTAGTTATCCGACCCTCGATCTTTGACTTAACGCACATGATGTGCGGGTTCCAAGTGAGCCTACGGTCTCTTAGAAGGCCGAGGTACTTTACCCGCGCTTGCCAGTCAATCTCCCTTCCAGAGATTCTCCAAAGAAGGTCTGATCAAAGCTTTATAAAGCATCAAAAGTTGCTGAAGTGTGTACAGTTTTCTGGTTCGGAACCGTGTTCCAAACTCTTGAGAAGCGGCTTTTACAATTCCAGGAAACTTTTTCGTAAGAACGTAGTGACTGCCAAGGTACGTACTGATAATATTCATTAATAATTTGTAAAACTAACACTAATATTGAGTGTTTTAATCAGCCGTTTTATGCTTCCACGAGTGTATGGTATTAGAAATGAGGTGATGTTTTCGGAGAGTCCCAGTTGCCTTAATCGTACCTCTAATGGTTTCTCAAATTGTACGGGGACGATTTTGGAGCCCATGATAGATATTCCTCATTTTTTGTGTGTGAATACTGATATATTGTTGGGATTAGTTTGTTTTTTAAATAAATAAAGTAGCGTACTTGATTGCGTAATTGATGGTTGGAGCCCCACCTGGAAGTTTAGTTGATGTGTCAGAGAGCGGATGGATAAATTCAGATCTGTTCGTAAAGAGGCTTCGTCACTTCATTGATATTGTAAAGCCAAACAAGGAAAGAAAATGTATTCTCCTTCTTGATGGCCATTCTACTCATTCTAAGAACTTAGAAGCATTGGTAATTGCTCGAGATGCTGGAGTAATTATGCTGCAATTACCAGGACACACAACTCACCGACTGCAGCCATTAGACAAGGTAATTTTTCAAGCCTTCCAAAAGTTACTTTGCCCAAGCGGTAGAAAAATGGCTGCGAACAAATCCTGGCTTGAGAGTCACTCAATAACAGATTTCACAATTAGTAACTGAAGCATATGGTAAGGCTGCGACGATTGAGAATTCGTGTAACGAATTCAAATGTAGTTGCAGAATATCTCAACTCAACTTCAGATCAGAATCGAGAAGACAGTGAATGTTTAGATCAAGAGAAAACTTGCTTGGATTAAAATCAGACTCTTGATATTGAAGTAACCTCATCTAACAGGCCAACAAGTTTAACTTCAAAACTGAATGTTTCGATTGGAGAAATGTCTTCACTTCCAAAACCACCCAAAAAGAGAAATGGATCTGAACTCAGATCTAATTTGAAAGTGCAAAAAGCAGTTATATTAACCTAACCTACAAAAATGAAATTGAAGTATCTCACGAGCTGAAATTGGCTAAAGAGAAGGTCAAAGAGCTCCAGATGAAAATCCGGCTTTATCTGAAGAGATGAAAGTGATCGAGACACCGATAAGAAAAAAACAAAAGAAGGCTGTCGTTTCAAAAACAGATCAAAATCTAGTAATCTTAAACCACTTTCTGTTGAAGATTTCAACCTCCATCATATAAAAAATCAATTCAAGTACAGCTCACATAAAATATTGCTGTATTATTCAGCGGAAATTGTTTCATTTGCAAGAGTTACAATTTCAAAACATATTTTCAGCTCCCGTGGTTCAATATAATGTTTTTTCAGAGTCTTAGAAAATTTTGTTTGCCTCTAGAAATCGATGAAGGTTGATTTTGCAACTTTCATATATATTTCTGCTTTGTACTAATTGAACAAGATGTAGATTGTTTGCTGTGGGTTGAGAAATGATGAACTTGATGGCGCAATTGAATAGTTAAAAAATAATCAACGATAGATTCCGATAAAGATGAAAACACCAGGAAAACATTCCAGTATTAATTGTTTTGTATTTGCAATTGTATTTCCTCCATTGTTACTTGTTTTTCTAAGAGAACGCATGACATCAATATGATGACATGGCTTACACGCATCAGAATAAATGTAATTACTTTTATTTTTCCCATCTCAGTCAATTTGCTGCACAGTTAAGATGAATGACAGTTATTATTTCCAATAATTAGATTCATGTAAATCAGAATCCATTATGGCAGAATAAAATAATTCTTCTATCAAATGAGTTTCTAGTCACTCGAACGGACAAACAAACTGGTGGCCGATACTGAGAAAAAATTACGTTCAGTATGACGAACTCAGTGGCATTCACATTCATAATTACAAAAGAGGTCATTGAAATAGTATTTCAAGATTGAAATGCATTAGTTTCCCATGGCTGGTAAATTGTGGGTAGATGAATCGAGTATAGATAATAGCCGTAACATAAATATCGTAGCGCCTGAAGATGATACAATCCAATAGCAGAGACTTAGGAATAAAGAGGAAAATAGAATATCTAAAAATGATCAATGCAAGCCATGACTAGAAAGTTTTTGAGTAAATGTCCAGTGCAACACACGCATAATCAAATTCTGGAAGAGTTGAGAAGATGGTCGCATATAATGTGGTTATTGGGAAGCTATTCAATTCTCATCAAGCATGTTACACATTATATTCGTCTGCACATCATACAATTAAAGTGAGACATTGAAATTATCGCACGAGAAACTAAATTCATGCAGACTGACAAACCGATGCAACAAGCGTGATGAAGAAATGTTACAACTGCGTTGGTTTGTTCCCGTAGTGAAACATTTTGAAGGTTAGGATTACATTTTTGTGTTTTGTCTTTAGATAAGTACTTGTCTATATCAAAATTAAAATTTATAGTTGTGGACATATTTTCGTTTGGTCGAAATTGATTAATGTATATCATCAGTCAGGCATCGGTCAGGGAGTTGATATGAGATTCTGTGATAGTTGGAATGGAAGAATGAACTCCAAATCACGAGTCGACAGATCTTGCTTTATATACCCCTACCAATGGGCTCCATGGCTCCACAATGTTACAAAACATTCCACAGTATTCGAGACGGTTCTGAATTGTTCCACAATGAACTAGAATGTTCCCGAACATTCCAAGTTATTTTCGAACAGTCTGCAACATTTCAAGATGTTTCGGGATATTCTGGAATGTGAATGACTTCTAGACCCTCATATTTTCAAAAGCAGGCCCTTCAGGTAGAAACGGAAACCTATCACATGGACAAGCTAATATGACACCATGAAAGAAAATGTATGTTCTGCTACCCATGCGAAACTGGGCTGTCACTGTTTTCAAGTAACATTTTCATTAGCCTCACTGATGAAATGGTGAAGAAATGGTCAAGTGTGTTACATACCTTTTATAATGCAGTTGCATTTCGTTCTCTCTCATCCTCCGTAGTTTTTATTCAAGTGAACGATTGGTTTTTACTCCAGACGTAGCGCCACTGTGTGTAATTTAGACGTGTCCGGGTCTGTCCTTTCCAATAAACCAAAGATCAGCCAATGTCAAAGATATCAAATGGGCTGGGAGAGAACAGCATCCATTTGTCATATGTCGCTTTAGACAAAATCACAGCGCTCGAACCTCGACCAGCGTTAACTTGGTCTATAATTAACTTTTGTAGCATTTCGCCTTCGGGCGATATCGTCAATGGCTGTATGGAGGAAAAAAATGGTGATTGCATCACTTGTCTCTCTATAATTAAGTTAATTAATGAAAAGTTACGTAAGACTATGTAAGGAATCGTAATTATCGAACTCCATTGTGATTATTTTAGTCATTGTGTCGTGTTTTGTATTACTGTCCTTTTAAAATGGGACGTGTCTCCCGACTCGATATTAACATCCAGGGGCGTGGTTCAGATTATACTTGTTATGGTATCATCATATAATTCCACAAACCTTATATCGATATAATGCAGCCAGGTATAAGAGTATATATACACTGGTAAAAATGTTTCCACCGGTACCGGTGGCAATTTAATTACCGCCCATATTAGCGAGAAATTACTTTCGTGTGTGATCTCACATTCCATGCGGAATATTATTTTGTAATTCTATCCCGAAGACAAGTGTGGAATTTTTCAGTGTAATTTTTCATTTTGAGTGTACTTTTGTGTTGAAATGAAACTTTATAGGATAAATTTGCGATATAAATTTATATCGAGATATTACACTCTTGACAGAATTTTACAGTAGAATTTTACACTCTTATTCACCTCTTCAACAGAAACAAAAAGGTACTAAAGTGTTTCTCGATTCCTTCAATTTTGAGTTCCAACTTGCCTCCCATCGCAAAAATGTTTTCAATTTCAATAATAAGAATCACAAATCCTCAAATTTATCCAAAATTATGAGAGATAGGAATAAAACGTTCAGATATTTTTTCGGTGAATGAAATTACGATTCAACATTGTCCGATATTTGCAACCACCAATACTAAACTTTATTCCTCATCGAAATTCATGCATACGGCGTCACTGATGAGTCATGCCACTGCTATCGAGTATATCTCTTTTTCTCAATACCATTCAGTAACATATAATTTTCAAATATATGTTCTGTAATTATTTGAAAATCAGTTAAAATATGTTGTACTATTCCATATAGTATGAAATAATTCGCGATGTGAGGTTAGGATATACTTGTAATAAAAAACTCTCTATAATGCATAACGAAAAAACCCAATGAATTCATCTGTTTATTGGACTAGTTATTGAAATTTTACAAGAAATGTACTCACCTTCTTTACTTATTTTCACCAACAACAAAAATATTCTAATGCACACGTCAGACAAACCGATGCGCTTCTGTATTAGACAAGAATGAACAATACAATAATCACTCACAAATACAAGCGTAATTTTACATTCGATAAAGAGATGGCGAAAATTTACATTTCACTAAGGGGGAATACCCATCGTCCAGTTAGTAATTCTCTTCACATGAAATAATACGTTATGATTTCACACATATATTAGATGATTATTTAATTCTCAATGAAAAGTACATTGCCTTCTCAAATTACGCTCGAGGATGTGAATTATTCAATAGAGAGAGTATATTTTCAATAAAACTGAAGTAATTTTCTTCGTTCGAAATGAAAATTCCGAGGTAAATTTCAATCATTTTTCCCGGTGTAGAGTGTCGATTTGTAAACTTTCCTCCCTTAATATGTTCCGTCTTCAAGGTACCGGGCGCCCTGTCCCAGTGGATATAACGTTCCTCTCCTAGTTACTCGTGGAACCATTTTTTGATCATGATATAACAAATAAATCTGACCTTCGGTCTACAGAAGACTCAGCGATTCCAACTGTCCTCCCTGTAACATCGGATCAAGAAAAAGAGCTCAGTACCTCATTTTTTTATTTTGTTAACAAACCTAGGAGGGCAGCCAGGAAGATATTTATCACTTCCTTAAGAGCCAGACATCTTATGAAGCTGCCTTTCTCCAAAGCCTTGAGCAGCAGACAAAAAATTCACATGAGGTGAAGAAGATGAAACACACTCCCGCTAAAAGGTCAGCAAAGGTTTACCCTCAAATGAGAATTTACTCAAACCAGGAGGAAAAAGCCCGGAAAGCCTCAATTTGATGTATCATCAGCTACAGGTGTCTTACAGTTGTTTACACATGGAAAAGTTGGGAATCTTGCACCTTGAACATCCGACAACCTCAGCATCTACCAGTCTGATGCAATAATTTCAGTATGACATAGAGAATAATCCTGAAGATGGTCAACTTGTAAGATTCCATAGCTGCACATTTCGGCCTGGTTGGTTACAGGTTACCTGGGTAGTAGATGCAGTAATTACTCTGCATCTATTAAATTATATCTACTTTCCTGCTGACCTTCCTGACGAAGGTAGTCACAGACTGATCGCCGACCAGGTCCTCACAAAATTTAAGAAAAATATACCATTACAAAATAGTTGAGGCTTTCGCGGCCGAAGTTTTCATTGTAACTATTTTTCGGGCTTGGAGACCGTCGATTTTTGGAATTTCTTCCTGACATTTCGCTACCATTCTTCAGAGGTTTATACATCCTGAGTTATTTCCGGTGACTGGATATTACGGCTGCATAAAGTGTATTTATGTTGACTCTGGTAGTTTGGTGTGCTAATTAGGTAAATTGTCAGTTGTCGACTCTTTTGTACCTGAACTTCTCAAAATGTGATCCAATATTCGAGTGAAGTTTGCAGCTTCTTCTTTTCTGTTGAAATTATCCGTGTCTTCGTGGATCTCTATAGCCTCCCGTACCAGTCGGCTATGGTATCCCTGATTAGGGACAACGATTTCCGTGTTTTCAATCGGTATCCCGTGGTTTCCTTCACTGAGTGTCCGTTGGGCCTAGTCTGGAGTTTTTTTCATGCTCCTTCAGCCTAATGGATCTTTTGGTGGTTCTGATGTATACCTTCCCACAAGTGCACGGTATTTGGTGTACCCCTGCTGCTGATAGTGGATCTCTCTTGTCTTTAGCCGACCTGAGACTTTGTTGTCGGGGTGAACACACCCCGAAACGAAGAACAATAAAGAGAGTTGTCAGAGTGTAGACAAGTCAGTCCCGAAGATGATCTTGAAAGAGAAACAAAAAGAGGAACTCACAAAAGTCTCCCCAAACCTACATCAACAAAAGTGGCTTTAGAGCATACACCGTATATTTCAACATTGTTGGCTTGAGATATCACCCAAACGGTATCGAAATTAGCTTGTACGATATCAAGTTATAGTTCGCAATCAGTTCCATCTCCGAATTACCTTTCACGTCTTGATTTTGAAGCAGTCAACTTTCGGTAAAAGCTGTCATTTGTTTCAAAGCAATCATGTTCCTGTACATAATCCGAAAGCAAGTCCAGCTCGTGACCTCACAAAAATCCAAACAACATTTTTCTTGAATATATGAATGACAAGCACTCATCAATCATTATTTCTTATTTCGTAAGAATTCAATTTAGGAATACATTTGTATTAGAACAAAATTGATGTATCCTTGAGAAATATGAAGTGCTTTGACAACGCATTGAAAGTAGTATGACCAGGGGCGTACAAGAAGTGAATTGGTAGTAACTATATTTTTAGCGAATATTGGACAACAAAGTTACAAGTTAAACTTATAGAATTATATTCAGGTTTTCTCAAGAATTTCCGAGCTTTTTTACAACTCATTTGCGTGGTTACTTATCATTACTTAAAGATTTTGCAATGAGGCATCATAACGATATACGTATATTGTACAAGGCAGTTATACATACAATGTTTGAGATAAAAAAACATACTTGTTTCATTTGATCTGGCTCCTTCACCACATTATAATGTGATCATTATTTGAAAAATGTAAATGGTTATAGTAGGATATCCTTAAAATAAAAACATATGACCATTGGGGACTTCTACAGACCTATAGTAATGAGCTAATTGTTCACAGCACCAACGGATAACATTGTCAAATTTCAACAAATTCAAATGAACCATTAATAAGTCATACACATAAACCTTGCTCTTGAATCACTTCCTCCATTGGCGAAAACCTAATGAAAAACCTTTCGATAGTTTTTGTTTCTATCGCGGTCAAACAGACACGACGGTAAACTTCAATTGATATATAAATTGATGACTTTGTTGTCCAGTAACTGCTGAAAATATAATTCCAAAACAAGCATGGAATCATTTTCAAAGTGGACCTTTTAGTCCATAAACCAAATGCTATACTCAAAATTCATTCATGATAGATCACTATTGATCTTCGGATCTATTGTTGTGCAGGGTTTTTCATTAAGCGTTTCTAATCCAGTCATTTAAGCTTAAATTAGGTAAGAATCTCGGAATTCGAGATACCCAGCTGTAAGTCTGTAAATACTTGTATATTGACACCCTAAAAGTTGTCTCAAAACCTACATATGGTAGGGTGTAAGCAACTATTAAATTTCAAGGTCAAAGGTCACAAAAATCGGTTTTTTGCGCTTTTTTTGGAAATATCTCATTTCCTATGGGTTTTTTGCTATTTGTATT